AGTCGTAGTCGTCGTAGTCGTAGTCGCAGTCGTAGTCGTAGTCGTAGTCGTAGTGGTGGTCGTCGTCGTCGTCGTCGTCGTAGTCGTAGTCGTCGTAGTAGTAGTAGTAGTAGTAGTAGTAGTAGTAGTAGTAGTAGTAGTCGTACTAGTACTATTATTATTATTAGTAGTAGTATGGCCTCACAGGCCCTACTTAGATATTCGTATTTCTGTTTACCCGAACAACCTAGTCAAAGCTTGATGTCGTTTTGCTTTTTGGGTTTTTACCTCTATGTAGGTTTGGGGTTGGGTGATTGAGTAGCAGGATGAGCAGCAGTAGTGTTCTACGGATGGTAGGCCTTAAGACTTGAAGCGGTCTTGCTTCTGGCAGTCCCCCCAAGGTGAGTTTGCGGACGTGGTCAGTGTGACGTCTCTCACACACCTAGTGAGGTCGTGGCCTCCTGTAGGAGAAGCCTCGGTGTCTCAATCGCCCCAACCGGCAGCAAGAATCAGAGCTTCGAGAATTGAAAGTGCCGAGCCATACGGTTCTGTACCCTTCCACCATGAACAGGTGCAGCACTGTTTTGCCGCAAAGCTTTGGGCGGGAGTCACGCGTTGTACTGACACTAGCTCTGGACCCACTCAAGCCAAAACTGCAGTTGGGACGACTGCGACGTTTTCTGGGGCAACCAAATGCAACGACGCGCACCGAGTCCACACAGGGCAGGGCTCGCGGCAGCTGCGTCGTGCTATAAAAATTTTCTGTTCTTGATACGAAAGCTTAGAAGTCCAGCAAGCCTTACCGTGCCCGGGTGCTCTAGATTCAGAACCCCCTACGAAATAAGTTAGTTTCTCACTTTTGCGCTCAGGGCCTGGACAATTAAGCCAAACTGCCTCCAAGAGGCAAGCTTAAGCATGATAGAGTTTGCACAGTGATGGGCTTCCTTTGCGTGACTCGGGTACAGGGTGTGTTCGTTGTGGTGCTTGGATATGGGGTGCATAGTGGTGTGCCATCGATGACCAGAGGGGGCCCCTCCCTATAGGGATGGCATTGAGGGACGGCCTTGGACAGGATGACCAAAACTGCCGGGGAACCTCACAAAAGGAATGCCTGAGGATCTGTCTCCTAGAAAAGCTTCTTGGTTCGATTGAGCAGAAGTAGTGAAGTAGGCTTTGCACGCTCTTAAGTCTCTAAGTCCCTGTTCTTGAGCTGTGGGTCCCCACGGTGGCGTCCGAGGCAGGACTCAAAGCCGGCCCTAGAAGAGATCAAGTCTCACAACTCGCTTCCGCAATAGCGCGCAGGTGGGTTTGTCCTTTTTGCTTTGCAGCAAACCAGTAGACATTTACAGGTTAAAGCATAAGGTTTTGGTTGTACGGTCTTCCTCATTCTGCAACAGGCAGTGATATGGACTGCGCAATTGGCCACCTCTCTTGCATGAATACCGAAAAAGCGTGTGCCTAAGCACAAGCCCTGCGTCCTCGCTTAGAACACCACCGAACCGTCCCAGCTTCTGGTGCCTTGCCAGGCCCTCCCTAGAGCCCCAAACCGAAAAGAAATCCAAACCTAGACATCACCAGATATCCCCCGAGACTCAGTAAGTCAATCTCATGGTCCCAAGAGCTATGCCCCTGCCCCGAGAGCACGTGCCCAGTTCGTCACGTTCAAAAACTCGACCTCCTGTCGACCCCTGGGACCCGAAGCCTACGAAGCCAAAAAGTGAACCCAAGGCTCGCGTGCGCTTGGCCTCCATGGCACCTGGCCTAAAGGCGGGGATTCCACAGACCTTTCGGGGCCAAACAAAAAAAAGGCTAAGCCGTAAGTCATAGGGTTTAGGGAAGCCAGAATATCATTCCCCGGGCCTTGCTCTTTTGAGCTTTAGACCTGGCCGGCGTGACAAACTCCCTGAAACTTAGCAGATCTTCCGGCATGGAACCGTGGAGCCACGTAGGGAAGCCCTCGAGCCGGAGGGTTTAGGAGTGGGGTCCAAAAAGAGGGTTTAGGGTTTGTAGTTTTTGGGGTTTATGGGGTTTATAGGGTTTATAGGGTTTATAGGGTTTATAGGGTTTATAGGCTTTATAGGCTTTATAGGCTTTATAGGCTTTATAGGCTTATAGGGTTTATAGGGTTTATAGGGTTTAGGGAGGTTCAGTGAATCCTTCAGCCTGAAGCCCAACTCGGCGTGTCTACTGGTGTTCCTGATAGCCAGGATTTCACAAAGGCGCTGACGGCAGAGAAGGCCACTCGGTTTAGGGCGATTCGGGGCTTTGTGCTTTGGGCTTCAAGACTCGATGAAGAGCTAAGCGTAGAAGATGGAAAAGATCGAGCCCTTGGGTTTGGAACGTAGGGCATCCGGCAAGAGTGCTTTCCTGAGAGGGTTTTGGGGTTGACCGTGTTCCAAGCTAGCTGTACTCCAGCTTCTGCCGCGGTTCGCGTGCATGGCTTGCCTGACATGCTTCCTGGTGGAGTCACATGAGCTTGCAGAGTAATTGCAGTCCTGGTGGGTTCGAAAATGGCTGAAATCCAAGACCCTGAGCTGGATGACCCTCCCTACACTGCCCTTCTCTAGCCCCTAAACCCGGGAGCAGACCTCATCTGGCTGTGCCGAGTTGTGAGAGCGTAAACCTTACAAGCCCCAACAGTGCTGAGTTCCTACCGCCCCATAAGCCCGAAAACCCTAAACCCTAAACCCTGCTTGTCTAGCTGTGAGTGCTGAAACCCTAAACCCTAAACCCTAAACCCTAAACCAAACCATCCAAAACCCATGGTTTTGGGAAGCCCAGGCCACCTTCGCGATCGGTACAGATAGCAACTGTGCTCTGCGAGCGGCTCGCCAGAGTCATGGGGCTCGCGGCTTTAGGTTTTTGTTGGGGGACTGGTGTTTGGGGATGAGTGTTCAGGGTTTAGGGGTTCAGGGGTGCAGGTGTTTCGCTATAGAGGATATAGGGATCAGAGTAAGGATATAGACGCTAAGATGCCGGACAATAAGTGAAGTTGTAAGTCCGACCTACGAGTTGTTTAAAGGCATGGAAGTGGCGCCGTGTGGTCAGGCGCGTTCAGGCGATTGCACAAGTCCTGATGCGAAAAGGCGCCGAGACTTACTGCAACGAAGTATGCTACTCGCTGCTTCAATGCCTGTAGCAAACCTAAACCCTAAACCCTAAAAGTCCCCATTAGCCACTCCCACCCTCGAAACCTGGAGAGTCTAAGCCTCATCAAGCCCACGACGCTAGATGTCCGAGGTCAAGGGCCCATGTGTGTCGCGCTCGCACGCCGTGGCGCCATGGCCGATACCCATAGGCCCTAAAGTAGTTCCTGTTTGGCGTTGAATTAAGAATCCTACAAGGTAAGCCCAAAAAGGAACTACTATGGGGCCTATGGATAGAGATCCGGAGAGTCTATCTGAGTTTGAGGTTAGTCGGGTTTGAGGTTAAGAGTTGAACGGAGTTTGTAGGGACAGAGAAGGGGCATTAAGTGTCTTTTAGTATCGTTTATTGGTGTTCATTAAGGTTTAATGCTTCGAATTCTGTTTAGTCCAGCTTTCGCGAGATTTTCGGCTTGAGCTTATGGGCTTAGGGTTTCTTTGGGGTTTTGGAGCGATAAGCCCAAATCGAAGACTGGAAGCTATCATTTTGGTTGACGTGTTGAGAACGAGGTCCCATAACCCGCTCCGCCCCAAGAGAGAGAGAGAGAGAGAGGACAGAGAGAGAGAGAGAGAGGGAGAGAACAAAAAAAGAAATAAACAAACACACGATTATACATGCATACGTAAAATATATGTATAGGTGTATATTTTATATATATATATATATATGCATATATAGATATGTATGTACATACATCCCTGCATGCACACAGCGCGTGCGCACACCTTCAACCCTAGAAATTGGGCTTTCGGGTCGAGGGTCCAGGATCCTGTTGAGATCTCGGTTCAGATTCTTGTTTGCTTCGGGGGCGCAGGGTGCTGGATTTTGATTGAAGCCAGCCGAGTTTGTATTTTTTTGTTGGGGGCTTATGGCTTGACATCAGCCCAATCTGTGACACATTTCAAAACTCCGAAAGAGTTAAGCTTACCCACAAGCTGGGTGGTAGACCAAGCAACGAGGTCCGGAGACCCAGAGCCCTTGCATTCCCGGTCTAGCTGAGGTTGAATTCCAGCCGGAGAAAGGTTCAGTGCCACTTGCCTGTCTGTTTAGAGCATGTCACAGCATGCGTCCGTATCGGTACTGCAACCTTTGTGGTTCTGCCGATGTTGCTACTACACCACTATCCCCTGCCCCTCTACTACAACTACTGCTGCTACTGTTGCTGCCGCTGCCTCCTACTCTTACAACTCCTACCGAACCTTTTCTCACTGAGGCCCCTGTATTAGCTCTACTAGAACTACTACTGCTGCCATTGCTCCTGCTGTGGCTGCTGTGGCCTCCTACTCCTGCTACTCCTTCTAAGCCCCTGTATTACATGGGAGTTTCCGAAAATTAGGGGTACCTTATTTTGGGGTCCTTATTTCAAGGATCCTATCATTTAAGGTGCTATATTAGGGTCCCCTATTTTCAGAAACCACCATATACCTCCTATCTGGGTTGGGCATGTAGACCATAGGCGCAGGGCCCAAATCCTGAACTGCGGGAAGAGCTGAGGTATGTCGTGGACACCTCGACGATCCTTGGCAGGTTGAGCCTTCTTCTCTTGATGCGAAAGGCTTGGAAGGTGGGTGCCCAGTTGAGATGCTGGAACTGGGATTGAGAATTCTGAACGTGTCTAGTGTTGAATGAACCTTGCTCTCAAAATAGCTCCAAGTCTTCTATCAGTGTCCTGTGCCACAGCCCTACATCCTGACTACTTTGAAGCACAAGGACCAGTAGGCATTCTCATAATCATCATAATCACAAGTGCTGTCGTTGCCATTTCTGTCGCTGTGTCGTCTTCATCATCGCAACCGCGACAAACAGCACTCACGAGCAGCATGGATAAGATACCGAAGTCAGATTGGCCCGAAGATATCGATGCAAGGAACGGCACCTTTCTCAACGGCCGGCGACTTCCTCCAAAAGGGACTGCAAAGGCCAGCGGATTCTCTGCTGTACCTTGTATCCGCAGCTTTCAAAACAAGCGGGAGGTCTTTCAGGTCTGTTACACACTGCCGTGGCAACTCATAAGGCAAAAGGCTCCTGACTCGCTTCTGGTCGTTTCGGATCTTGATGGGAACTTGGCCAATGGCCAATCGTCTGCGGGCTGTGACTGGCGATGCTCACAGCCCTGGCCCCATGTTCAGCAGGCTAAGTAGGCCATCTATGGTTGTATCGGCCAGGCCTGGTTCTAGCACAACAGCACCTCTAAAGCACAGTAGAAGGCGGCACTGTCCTGGTTCGGGCGCTTGCGTCTACTTGTCGCTGCATTGCACTCGGAGGTGTACTTCAACGACTCCACATTCATGCCTTCACCTGCATGAATTTCCCGATGCAGTTTGGGACTACTCGAGCGCAGTTTGAGCTCGAGATTTTGTGGCTTGTTCGTGCAAGCTTCAGAG